AGGGGATTTAGGATCCTAATACGCATTTCGTTATCATATTTTTATAAAACTTGCATTTAGTTATAATTACGCATTTAATTTAGTTAATTTAGGCTTTATATTTATAAGTAGATTATTAAATTATAATTTAGTTAGCGAAAATATCAAGAATTTCTATTGTTTCAGTTAAGACGTAGATAATTTAAATTTAAACTAATACAATCTCTGTGGGACGATATTTAGACTCAAAAGGTTCACTTTATTACTTGAACGCGACCCGTGCACTTGCGGTGTAGAATTTTAGCAAACAATATCTATACTTTTATCTATATAATATGGTACTAAAAGATTTATTCTCCCTACTTTTGTTGGTACCTTAACTTCCAAATATGTAATATGTACCTGCCCATCAAAATTTATATATCTATATGGATCAGTTTTATGAGTTATTAATCCTTTATTTTTGATTGAAGTTTTATGACATTCACTAGCTCCTGTATCTATTAATATATTTGGTCCATTTACATATTCTCTTCCATTATAATATTCTCCTTCTATTTTCATATTTCCAGAATTCCTATATAGTTTTACTTCTTTTATATTATTAAGTTCTTCTAACTGGTTTTTATTAGGTATTCTAAGACTTTTTTATTTTTTAATTAATTTTTCATCCTTAAATGTTATATTATTAGAATATTCTCTTTCATTTATTTCTATTATTTCAGGTTTAATTTTTTTTTATGCTAAATTCATATTCTTCTGGAATTAAACTTATTTGTTTATTTGATTTTATTATTTTGCTAATATCCTTACATTCTTTATGTACTTCAATATATGATTTATTAAAATAAATATTTCCATAATTAGAATTGGTAAATGTATATAAAGCTTTATATTCTATAGTCATAATTTGATCAACTGATTGCATGATATCATCTCTATACAGCTTAAAATGTAGTCCTAACACTTCATTAATATTTATATCTTTTAATAAAACACATTCTCTTTCTATCTAAGACTTCCCATTTTCATATTTGTAAATCTAAAGATAATTTTTGTAATTTTCTAAATTTATTGTTATTAAAGGTAACTTTTAATCCATATCCTTCTATTCCTTCATATTCTTATATATTTATATTATTACTTTCTATTTCCTCTATTTCTTTATTCAGATTCTGATTCATCATTCTCTGTTTCACTTATATAAACTTCTTGGTTATAATATTTTTCAATATATGATATTTCACTCAATTCATCTTTTATTTCCAAATATTCTTTTTATAATATTTTAACTTTCTTTTTATTAAAATCAGGGCTTATATGACATATTTCTCTACAATTCCAACATTTACATTCACTTTTATTTTTCATATAACTTTTATTTTTCTGTTGACCATATGGAATATTTTTTCTTTTATAATATCTTCTTCTAGATTTTATATTTTTTTATTAAAATTTCTAAAATTTTAAAATTTTTTATTTTTATATTTTCTTTTATTAACCCTTCTTTCAGGATTACATCCCCATTATATATGATTTTCCATATCTTCACAACATATTTTAGTTAGTTTTCCTGATTTTTTCATTAATTGTCTTTGTTGACATATATATGCAAGTCTTTCAAATAAAAATTTTATTCTTGAATCTAAAGTTCTAGGTATTCCAACATTGTCTCTAATATATTTTTCAAATTCTATTTTAAAATATATTTTCCATGAACCTGGTAATTTATTATAGTACATATCTTGGTATATTTCTTAGTTTTTATTACTGTAAAATTGAACATAGTAATAATTTCTAAATTCACAAGTATATTTTTTAATTTTACACATATCACATATTGTTAAATTTATTAGTTTAATTCTAGCATTGTCTTTTTCTCTTATTTCTTCTCTTTCAACATTTCTTATCCAATTTTCTCCTAAAAATTCATCTGAAATATGTTCTATTAACTTTTCTATACCTTGTCTATCTGATTTTATTATTTTTGTTTATACATTTCTTCTTATTAATGTTTTTGTATCATTACTTATTCATTTCCATCAATTTCTAACATTTCCTTGAAAAGATGCTATTAAGAAATCTATTTTTTTTCAGTATTTTCCCATGTGTTATCTTTATTATATAAAAAGAATAATATCATTGAATTTGTCCAAGTTAATAAGGCTTTTTTAATATCTATTTTGTAATTTAAATCTAATTTTGTTCCTCCATTGTTAATAGGTTTATCATAATTATCATTTAATTCAAACATGTCTATCTATTTATTTCCTTTAGGTGATTGTCTATCTCTTACTTTATCATAAAATTGTCTATATAGTTTATTATATATAGGTGCATAATTTTATCTAAATCTTGTAATTCTTGTTTAGAGATTTCTATTGGATTAGGTTCTCTTCCAATATTCATTAAAACTTGGTATTCACTTATATCACTTAAACTTAATTGATCAAAATTTTCTATTAGTAAATCTAATTCCTCATTCATCTTTATCTTCTTTTTCTTCTACTTTTAATTTTTCTAATATTTTTTCTCTAGATTCTTCTTCTTCTTCTAATATTTTTGGTAATATATTTTTTTCTAAATTCATCATCCATACTTCTTGTTTCTATTACTACAATCTCTTTTTCAATATATTTTTTTCTTATTCGAGTCATTTCTCTTTCTATTAATTTTTTTTTATCTATTTTCTTTTCTTTATTTTTATTATTTTCTTTTATTTCTCTAATTTCAATTTTTAATATATTTATATAATTTCTTATTTCTCTTACTTCATTTCTTAAATCTTGTATATCATTTATTAACATTTTATTAATGACTTTAATTCTTCCATATATTCACTTATTGACATATTAAATTATTCTGGTCATCTTTCTAATATATAAGTCAATTTACATCTTTTATCTTCTTTTTTATCTATTATTATTCCAAATCTTTTATTAGCTATATCTGTATTTACCAATTCTTCTTTTACTATATTAAAATATTTACTCTCAAGTCTTAATCTTTCACATTTTAATTTTATTAATTGTCTTTTATTTGATACTCTTATTCCTTCTGGTATTAACATTATACCTCGTATTTCTTCTTATATTTTTTTCCATTTTTATAAGTAATATATTTAATTTTAAATCTGTATTATTACTTGCACTCATAATTCTCTTTTTAATATATATTGATTTCTTCATCTTTATATACATTAACAATTTTTTCATATATATATTTATCATTTATTGTTTCTATAATTAATTTTTCTAATATTTGTTCTTTTATTTCTTTGGGTAGTTCTTTAATTATTGTTAATGTCATTATTTTTAATTTATTATGAATAGGTTTTAAAAATATATAACTTCCTCTTTCTTCTTCTAAATGTAAATAATTATTTATTTATCTTAATATAATTTCCATGATCTCTATGGCTTTGATACCAATTAGAGAGTGCTACTTAGAGCGAACAAAAATCAAATGAATCTATAATCTATCAAAATTCAAGTAATTTTAAATGTTAAGGATTAAAATGCAGGATTTCTATTTTATATTTACTTGTTATGCAATATTCAACAGGAAGGGTATTTTAGGTATCTAAATTAGTCAAGGGTTATTTTGGAAAAATGGCTTATTTGTTTAAGTCATTTCCATGTATTTCCCGCTTTGCACAGTGATGATGTGCATTTTTTAATATTCCCTAACATGGATATTATTAATAAATTTTAGAAGTTGACTCGGCTTTGCACAGTGATGTGCATTTTTTTTTTCTAACCGGCACAAAAACATTTGTTGGCACAAACACTAGTAAATCTATTAAGTATTGACTCATTTCAGTTGAAATCAAATTTTTGGCAATGTACACCGTGAAACTTTTATACATATGGACCAATATAATTATAAATAAGACAATCACTATGCCTTGACGTTAAGATTTCAAAATTATCTGCAAAAAGGTCAAATATGATTTTATTTTGCGGAAGAAGTGAGAACTAACTTGTCTGGATTTCCTTCTCATCAGGCTTTGGCGGGTGGCTTAAAAATGGCTTCACTTTGCCAAAAGGCCTAGTCTCTAAAACCCAGACTGGAGAGCTGACCCCCCGCAGTTGGGTTTGAAACAATATTCAAGGCTTTTTCGCCTTAGAAATATAGAATAAACCAATTCTTGTTCTGCGGTAGCATATGGACAATGTGTTGGAATTAACCGGCATTTGGTAGTGTTCATCTGGAAACTAATATCATTGTTCACAATTCAGTACAGCCATTTGAGGTCTACTGGCCAATAAAATCCTCCTTTCATTCATTGAGTTCGAGGAAGCACAAGATAAAAATCTTATAGACGAGAAAAATGACGCTGCCTTAAGAGGATGTTTCATCAAACTCCAATAAACATGCTGAGATTTTCAAAAGCTCCTACCTTATAACAGATCTAGTGCTTCCTGAGTGCCTCTCTAGCAGCTGATCTTACAATCATCCTAATCTACGACCACCTTTGCCACTTTATTTAAGTGGAAAATGATGCACAGTGCTTCTATTCACATGTGAGAAGAAAGAAGTAATAATCCAAATGAAGAACATAACAAAAGAAGGGACACCGTTGACAAACGCATTGGCCACACCCAAGAATGATTCAAATACTCAAATTTTCTTTTATTCCAACAGTTTATTACTTAGTAGTTTTATTGTTGAACGAAATATCTTGACTTTCTAGTAGAAAGAGATTTTTCTAATTATCTCTCCCTTTAAACATGTTCTGACAGTTTCTGGCCTTGCATTAGCAGAGCTTCTAATAATTTCGTCTCCTCTTTTTATCTTCTTGTTTAGTTCCAGATTCCTTACCTATAAATGCCCATTACTATATCTAAATAACAATCAGCATTTTTTGAAGTAGAGGGTTCATGACTAGCCAAAAATCACATTGTTGTACATTATTATTTAGGATGTTTTCTAACCTCAGATCTCTGATGTACATCAGGATGAAGAGGCCAAGAAGTAACAATTAGCACCAATAGGTGAATTTTTTCAACTTATATAAATTAAACGAAAAACTCGAAATGTTTATTTTAAATATACAGTAGTTATACACTTATACTCTTGATTTTAACATATTTGGTTTCCAATTACGACTACTAAAACTGTCCTTTCAAAAACCACTCCAGAATCACATAATTAGTCATCATTTATCATCTTAATATGCAAGTTCAGTCTATCTAGCAAAAAGAACATATCCTTATAAGCAAGTTTGAATTCATCTCCAGAGAAGAATCTAAAGATGGATCCTCCTACCTCTAGACAGCTCTCTCCGGCCATCTTTTTCAATCCTTTATCTCTCATAATATTCCTCACATTTGCTGCTTTCTCCCACAAACCCGCTTCAGCATACTTGTTTGCCACCATCACAAAGTTCCCACTTCTTCTGGGCTCCAATTCAAGTAGCTTTTGTCTCACCTTCTCCCCCACCCCACTTAAGTCATTAATGTCATGAATGTTGCAGGCACTGAGCAATGTCCTCCACGTTATGGCATCTGCCTCAATGGGCATATTTAAAAGAAAAGTATAAGCTTCTTTAAGATGACCAGCTCGACCTAAGACATCAACCATCGCACCAAAATGAACCGATGTGGGCTTGATCTCATACACATGCTCCATTTCATAGAAAAATCGCTCCCCATCCTGAACCAGTCCAGAATGGCTACAAGCACAAAGAACCCCAAGAAACGTCACATAGTTAGGCTCGACTGAATTTTGTTTCATCTCCATGAAAAGTTCAAGGGAATCTTTAGCAAAGCCATGCTGTGCATACCCAAGAATCATCGCACTCCAAGTCCAAACGTTTCGATGGACCATCTGACTGAAAATTAATCTAGCATAATCCAGAGCTCCACACTTTCCATACATGTCAACAAGAGCAGTACCCAACTGACAATTCAAAACCATACCTTTCTCAATTACATGAGAATGGACCCATTTTCCCAGACTCAAGTTACCAAGCTCTGCACAAACGGAAAGTACAATCACCATCGTAGTTTCATCCGGCTCAAAATCACTATCCAGCATCTTGACAAAAACCTCAACTGAATCAAAAAACTTTGAGCTCTCTACATAAGCTGAAATAATCGAATTCCAAGAAACAACCGTTCTAAACAACATTTTGTCAAACACCTTGTATGCATAAACAACCTTCTTACAAGAACCATACATATGAATCAAAGTATTCTGAACATACACATTAGAATACAAACCATACTTCACTACTTCCCCATGAATTTGCTGCCCTTCACTGAAACCCGAAAACGAAGCGCATGCCTTGAACACAAAGGGGAAGGTATGCTCATTGGGTTTAACTCCCTCACACCGCATCCCAACAAAAACCCGTAATGTCTCTCTTTCTAGACCGCATTTCGAAGAAGCATATGCCCTTATCAGATGATTCCATGACGAAACTTCCAAGTTTTGGGTCTGACTAATAATGAGACGAGCGTGATGTAATAAATTAATTCTATCTCCGATGTGATTTGCACAGCAGAATTGGATTATTCTATTTACAACACGGCAGTCGTAATGAAGTGCAGAAATTAAAATCTGGGCGTGAATTTGGAAAATGTGCTTTCCACTAGAAAAAGAGGTGAGCCGCGAGAGGCACTGTTGAATTCTTAAGGAGGGGGGAACAGATTTCGGATTACCGTTCAAGGGTTTTGGCGGGTGGATACGATTGGCGGTTGGTAGTGTCATATGAACCATGCAATGCCTTTGTTTCATGTGAATGACAAACTAGGTAGTTTAGTACTCTACTACGTTGACTTAGGGCGGTCTGAGTAATCTTATATATCAATTTCTTAAATAATAAAGCTTGTTAGCTAGAGTTAAAAACATTAAACGAGAAGACATATTGTGGTCGCGACAAATGGTTGGGTGTTTTTTGTTTTAATTTTTCAAACTGTTCAATTACGGGACGATATGTGTCGTCCCCATTTTTTAGCCTGTTTTTCACACTGGATGTGCAACACAATTGTTTCTTAAAATTAAGTCTTGATTGATGTGATTAAAATAAAATTTTTAATAGATTTTGATAAAAGTTAATGAAATGTGTAATTAAAAAGTTGTAAAAATTATAAAATATGTAGTTAAAATTAATTTTTGACTTTCATTGAAATTAAAGTATGAACAAGGGCTAAGCAAATCGCTATGTCCGCTTTTCTATTATAATTTTAAATTTAGTTTATAACTTTCAATTAAATGCGTGTTTGTCTTCCTTTAAAATTTTAAATTATTTGCCACAGTATTATTATCTGTCACACATTCACACAATAAAATATTTTACACGAAAATCAATAAAATTTTTTAACTTTTTAACCACACATTTTTAAAAAAATACTATTCAAAACTCTTTAATTTTCTAAATAATGGATGACAAACAGGGTCTAAATCAACCATTATGATACTTTACAAAAATTTGCATTTTTCTCCTCAACCTTAGCAAAATGTAACAAATATACCATCAATTTTAATTTTTTTAAGCAAGTTCATCCCAACATTTCAATTATTAGCAAAACTCATTTGTACCTCCATTTTGGCTATTAGACGATGTATTTGCCCTTCTCTTTAAATCATAAAAAAATAGAGGAAAGGTTAGTTAAAACCACAAAAATAAAGAAAAATTGTAAATAGAATTCCATATATATATTTTTTCTCCCCCCCCCCCCCCCCCCCCCAAAAAAAAGTCAATTTTTGCCGAGTTAGGATTGATTTTGTCAAGTTAGAGTTGATTTAATTGAGTTGGTATCAATTTGATGTTGCAATTACATAAAGGAACACAATCATCCACACTGAAGGCCCTGTTTTGTTGGAAAAAATGGTTTAATGGGTCAACTTTGAGCCCAAATTTCAGTAGGACCCACCTTTTAAATAATACGGGACCTAGCATATTCACGTTCTACTCCGCGAGATGATTAACGTGATATATTTATTTATCGAAAACCATTTAAAATTGAATGAAATATTAAGTGTTAAAGTAACCCACATAAACTAAGGATTATGGAAGAATTTGATTTGCCAAACACTTATCCCACATAGAAAAGTTAGGGAATTTGATTTGTCAAACACTTATTCCATATAGGAAAGTTAGGAAACTTTGGTGTGGTTTATAAGGTGGAAGTTTGGAATTGGGTTTGAGCCCCAAGGGGTACCAATAGTCTTTGGAAGGGGGAAGACCTATATCCTATTGGGTTCGATCATAAACCTACACGCGCGCGCCGTCGCCGCCCGTCCGACCGGCCGGCTCGGCGTGGCACGTGCCCGAGTCCAATCCGGGTGGACCTTTACACTATATTAAAATTTTGGGCGAAATTGTAAATAATCAAATTCTTGGGTACAAAATGAAATTTAAATTTTGGCTTATTCCGGGTGTTTTATTTTCTTTTAACAGTCGACTGTTACGACTGTTTAATACCGACCAAACAGTCGACTGTTAGCCGACAACAGACACGACTTTTAAGAACAGTATGTCTGTTCGAATTTTTGAGGCTTGTCTGAAAGGTGATGACTGTTCGAATGGCCACGAACAAGTCTATAAATAGCCAGCCTTTCTACCAGAAAATTTACACCATTTTCATTGCAAACTTTCTGTGTTTTGAATCTCATTTCTCTCTTTCTCGTTCTGATATTGTCTCGAAGTAAAAAGCATTTCGTTGAGTTCGTTGGAACTCCTACAGACTGCAGTGCTGCATCCGTAGGAGACGAAAATTCGTTCTATCCTAGGAAACGATTGCTGGACGCCTTTAGCACCATTGAAGGCAGCAAATTCGTTTTAAGGAAATATCGTGAAATCGGTGGGCTTGAATTACAATTTTGCATCCTGTTGATCAATTTTTGCATTCAGGTAATTTTGTCGGATTGTTTTCGAAGGAGTGAGTTCAAACTCTAGAAACAACACAAACAAGTTCACGTGCGCTCTAGCCTTTAAGGTCTCATTTAGAGATCAAGGCTTGAGGGTGTCCACTTCGGATGACGATATCCACCTTGGATCTGCTTCAGTTCATGTTGACATTTGAAGCATCGGTGCATCGGAGTGTGTATCTACTTCGAGTAGTTATGCGCTTCGGCGAATCAAAGCATGGCATGTGTTTGGTGAGGTGGCAGTTCGTCATGGGGGTGTAACAGTATTGATCGTTTAATGAAAAAAAGCAAACTAGATCCAAAAACCAATTTTATCATAAATTTATAAATCATTATAATAACTTAAGAATCATCCAGTTTAGCTTCATATTGGTAGTTTACCGATTCGATGCAGTACACTTTTCATCTTTTACTTTTCTGAATCAAATTGCTTGATTCAAATTTTGAATATTGAAATCAAATTGACAATTTATTTCCTCTACAGTTTACAGTAAGCTCAATAATCAAAATTCGTTGTTAACTTTATATTGTTAAGATTACTTTAACGCAAGATTCACGCACCTACCTAAATTGCATTTGCATTAATTTCAATGTACATCTTACATTACGATTGAAATTTTTCCTTAAATATTTAAATAATTAAAACTATTTAATTAGCCGAAGTTGCCAAAGTTAGACATCATACAAATTACCTTCAGCGATTATTACCAAACACTAATTTCTAGATCCTTCCACAACGTTCCACCGCCACCGCCTCCTCCTCATATAATCCTCAGCCTCCGAATCACTGCAACATTATTTTCCATTTCGACTGAAAATCAATCCTCCCCCCTCCCTCTCCAACCCAAAGTAGAAAAGCTGAAATTTAACATGGCTTCATCGGGATCGGAGAGGAGATCATCTGTGCCGCCGTCTCTCGAAGAATTAAGCACCAGAGGCGCCACCGCCTTCCTTCTTCCGTGGATTCTCAGCATGGCCACTGCCTCGTCTCAACAACCCCGCGATGTTGTGGTGTTCATAAACCAAGCTACAGGGGCCATAACCATGATCGAAGGTTCCCTCGATGTCGAAGCGTTCCTCAGCGGCATGCCCAGGAAGGAAGGGCCGTTGCCGGCGTCTAAAGCGTCTATCGAGTCTATGCCGGTGGTGAAAACAACGGAACTGGGTTCGGAGTGTCCGATTTGCTTAACGGAGTTTGAGGTGAACGGCGATGTCAAAGAGATGCCGTGTAAGCACAAATTCCATTCGGGTTGCATTGACAAATGGTTACGGGTCAATGGGTCGTGCCCGGTTTGTCGGTACATTATGCCGGTCGAGGAGAAGAAAGAAACTGATAGTGAAGGAGAGGTGGAAAGGAGAGAGGGACCGGGGATGAGAATTCACGTGTTTTTTGCACGCGGTGACAACCAGAGGGAGGCGGGTTCGGATACGAGTGTCGGGTCCGGACACGAGGGCTCGGGCAGCAATCCAGAAAGTGAGAATAGAAACGGGTTGCAACCCGAAAACATGGATTTAGATTAATAGGAAATTATATTTTGTTTTAGATTTATTTTTTATTTTTTTGTTTTGGGTGCGGTGGGGGTGTCAGTTTGTTTCTCCTAGGTGAGGTTATGATTTTGTATATGCCTTTTTTTTTTTTTTTTAAATGCGAGTAAAATGCATTTTTCATGCAATTGAAATCTTTGTAATGAGGAAATAGAATATCTTTGAAAGGTAATTTATGTAATTGATTTTTAGTTAATTAAAAACGAAAATTGATTTGTCATGGGTGTTAGCTTAGAACTAGGCATGATTATGTTATTTTGTAAGGGAGAAATTTGCGTCGAAGTCTTTAAATATTTGGAGAAGAATATTGTTAATTGTATATAACTTTGTAGAGAAAAAAAATTGGCTACATTTTATCTTCAAGAAATCTTTTAAGCGTAAGATATTTTTTATTTTAAAAAGTTAACTCTTAAATCATGCTTTCAGTGATTATTTAAATTTACATTTTAATTTAAAAAGTAGGATTGGTTTTTCAAACTCCCAAATTTAAAAGTCAAACTCATTCTCTATAATTAAATATATTTAAAGTATTTCAATTTTCAATATAAAAATAATAATTTAGTGAAAAAGTTAGTTATAATAAAAAAATAGAAAAAATAATAAATATTTTCTAATAGTAGACTTTGTGGAGTACTTTAAAATTTCAACTTTTTAAATTTATAAATATTTTTCCTAATGTTAGAATACACTATTTAAAAATAGAGTCTCTCGGAAATGTTTTCAAACCATTCAAAAAAAAAAAAAATTAATGATTCTCATCTAAAAATTCATTAGTTGATCAAAAGTAATACTATTGATATACTTTTTTAATATGATTTTTTTCACCTTTAATTAATTAAATCAATGGAAATTTGCAAGATCAATTAAAAATGTCAAGTACTCTCAAATCTTTAATAAATGCGCATTGAAAGAAGCTCCAATGGTTCTTATACTATTGATTTTAAATGAGATTTTATACTTTTGATTTTAAAGAAAATTTACATATCTCACTTATTTCTTTTTAGCTCTTTAAAAGTTTTAGTTAGGAGGAAATTGAGTTGATGAAATAAAGAAAATGGGGTGAACGGAAGTGGAAGAAATGAAAGGCTGAGACTCACCAGCCACGAAAGAGGAGACTATTGTAGCGATGGTGATAAATTTTTGGATGTAAATTGTTAGATGTCCTTTTGAAGTACATTTATTAAATGTTTGGGATCACATTGCACATTTTTGATACGTTTTGGAGCTTCTATATAAATTTTCTTGTTTTGAATAATGAAGGTTAAAAGATCATTTTGCCCTTTCAAAATTAATCGAATTTATGTCCAACGTCCTATTTGGTCAACTAACAGATTTTTGAATGAAAATTGTTAGAGGTCTTACCAATACATAATCAGCCGTGCTACTGAGGCAAGTTCAGTGCCAAACTCAAAAATAGGGGTTGAGGTGACATCGCCTCAGCCCCCGATTTCACATCTTTTTTTTTTTTCAGATCCAAGGATCGAGGGGTTGCCACCTCGGCACCTGAATTTAGCCCTGTTTTTGGGCATGTTCAAGCAAGTTAATTCATACACAATTATTAAAAGATTTGAGATATAGCTACTATGATTTAAGGTTTTGAGGCCATATTGCATATTTTTGAAAGGTATAAGATCTTCGCTACAAATATTCAATTGTAAAGATTTCAGCTATATGCAATTAAGCTCACAAGTGATTAAGCCCTTGTTTGAGCCACATTATTGGAATGAAAATGCATTTTTGAATAATATATTGATAGAAAATGTGTAGTTAAAAAATAAGGAAATGTTTTGGATTAGCGTGTAATATTATTTTATTGAATAACGTATGGTTAAAATAATGTCAAATCACTGTTGAAAAATATTTTTTTTTTCAAATAGTGTGACTCAAAGAAGGCATAAATATTTAACGTGATATCAAATGTTGATTATTATCGTTACGCATTGAAGTTTACAAAGGTGACATGAGTAGAGTTAAATATTTAATTCTATTCACTTTTGTTTAATCTAACATATGAAAGACATTTGTCAATACACGATTGTATCTTTGCATGTTATTTACCAAGTACAAGTCTTCATTTGTCTCAACCAACTATACGAGTGCTTAAATCAACATTACACGCAATACTCGAGTGATTAGTCCGTCAATCGGACTCCTTTGACTTCATTAGTAAATACAAGGACCTAATGTTCGTATCATTTTTTTTCCCACTCAACATTGATATTGATGTATCAACAAGTTTTTGACGCGAACACAAGGCAATGATGCTTTAAATTGACATGGATAGGTTAATAAGTATGTAAGTATCATGTATCTTTGATTTAAAGTGAAATATGAGTATTAATTACTCTTTTAATAGTGTTGGCTGCAATAAATGGTGCCACTGGAGCTAAATTATCAATGGGCGTACGTGATCTCTTATCCTATTAAATAAGAATAATGCTATTCATTGATCATCATCTAATCTATAATCTATCTATCAATAACGTGTATGAAAGAAAATTATGAAAGAAATCATAATCATAGCTTTTTTTAATCTTATTAAAGGTCCTAATGTTTACTTATTTTTTGAACTTTTATCTTGAATTTTTTTTCGCCCTAATGTACCCACAAGAAAAAAAAAAAAAAAAAAAAAAAAAAAAAAAAAAAAAAAAAATAAACGAAACAACCAAGATCGTGCAATCAGGTGCCTATTAAAAACGAAGAAACCATAAATAAATAAAAAAAAAAAAAAAAAAAAAAAAAAAAAAAAAAAGAGCACAAGAAGATATTGGACATTGGCACAGTTCTTTTCAAGAAAATTCAGCAATTCAAAACTAACAAATAAAATGACTAAAAATCGTAACTATCATACTTTAGTGTTACATTTTCAGAATATCAAGATTTGAAAATATCTTCAAAACATTTTCAGAATATTAAAGTTAGAAAATATTTTCAAAATTCAAGCCATAATGTAATTTTTATATTAAAATAGCTAATAACTAATTTCATAAGATTTGTATGTGACCTTAATTCGTGGTTATTTATAGAATAATTGAGATTTATCTCCCTCGTCATGTTAACACCCCAAAAACAGCAAAACAATTATGCTCGCTGCCATTTTTAAGTCTCTGTAATGTCATCCAAAAATTAGCCACCGTTGTTCATGTTACGTTAAGAAATCAAGGGCTTCGGTACGGGAACATAATTCGAAGAAACAAGGACATAAGTTTAGGTCACAATAGTTCTACATACAAAAAATAAAAAATAATAAAATAATAATAAAAAATTGGGTCATCACAAATTTTAAAATCGATCACAAATCAGCAGCCTGCTTTCCCAATAGGGAGACATTTGGAACTCTTAGAGGTATATATGTATCTTTTATTAATCTGCAGATATGTGATAATAAAAAATTATGAGTGCAGTCAGTTTGTTTGTGTTAAGATTTGGAATCCATCTTAATAAGGTCTACCTTATTAAGAGGAGTGATCCAAAATTTATTTAAATTGGTCAATATTTCGGTATTTAATCGATGTGGGGTTTATTTCCTTAACATGCCCCACAAGATGGTGATTCTTTTTTAGTAGATCAATCTTGAAATTCGTGTACTCATTTTTGAAACTTAATCGGATCGAATAGCTCGTTGAAGCTTACTGGGCTCTGATACCATGTTAAGATTTGAGATCCATCTTAATAAGGTCAACTTTATTAAGAGGGGTGGCTCAAGATCTATTTAAGTTGATTAATATTTTGGTATTTAACCGATGTGAAATTATTCCCTTAACAGTTTGTACAATGTTGCTGACTCTCGTTTCTATTTTCAATTGTGGTGATTAAGTATCTTAAATTGTGTCAACTAGAAACATTCACACATAGGTAAAAAAAAAATCAATCCCGCCTGGTGTACAGGATTCCTTTTTACAGAAGTTTTACAATCTGACGTGGCTTCTTTGTTTAATAAAAATAAAAGGACAACAAATGAAAGAAACGAGGCGCGAGGCAGCTTCATTCTCCTTCGTATAATCCCCAAATTGAAAACCCTTTCCCCACCTCGCCATTGCCATCTCCGTCGGCCGCATCTACGTCTGTGTCTGTGCCGCCCATTGCCTGTCGGCTACCGAATCAGGTAAAACAAAAAAGTAGCAACTGCAACAAAGACGATTTGTGAAGGTCGAGAAAGTGCAAATGTTGCTTTGAGTTTCCACTGGTGTGAAGCGACGACCACCGGCGAAACGCGACCACAACGGCCCACTGAAGATCTCACGATACAGAAACTCTTCCAGCTGCCAAGGAATCTCCAGCTGCCAAGAAATCTGCTACCAAGGAATCTGATCTGTTGCAACCACCAAATGTCAGTTAATACCGTTAAGATGAATTAGTTAGAAGTTGTTAAGTGATTAGTTGTAGTTAGGCAAGTCAGCTTGTATATATATACCTGTGTCTGTAATATGAAAATCAATTTTTTCCGGAATGAGAAAATCAGTTTTATCATTCTTCTCTCTGCTTTTAGCTGATTCAAGCTAGAATTAATTTTCATTTGATCTTGCTCAAGGATTTCACATGGTATCGAGCCAAAGGTTCCTGCTTATTCAGTACCTTCTACAATACGCCCCTGAATCTGATGATGGCGAGCTCCAACTCCAACCCTGCTGATGATCCAACTAGTCAATATTTCTTGCACCCTAGTGACAATCCAGGTGCTATAATTGTCTCTGAAATCTTCAATGGGGATAATTACACTTCTTGGAGTAGAGCAATTTCTATGGCACTAAGTGTAAAGAACAAATCTGCCTTCATTGATGGTTCCTTACAAGTCCCAGATCCATCCTCTGGTGCTATGTACAACTGCTGGATCCGTGCTAATGACTTGGTGTTATCGTGGTTGTTGAATTCTATCAGCAAGGATATCCGCCAAAGTCTGTTATACATCTCTTCTACACATGAAGTCTGGAAAGAACTCAAAACTAGATATAACCGCAGTGATGGACCTAGAGTGTATCACTTGGAAAAGTCTCTCAGTTCCATTTCACAAGGATCACAGATTCTCACAATGTATTACAATTCTTTCAAAGCTACTTGGGATGAGTATATTAGCTATAGGCCGCTACCTAAATGCAAATGTGGAAAACTTTCGAGTTGCACATGTGACATACTTAGCAGCATATCTAAAACTCAGCAATCAGATGCTGTCATTAAATTCCTCATTGGCCTTAATGAATCTTATTCTGCAATAAGAAGTCAATTGTTGCTCGCTTCTCCACTTCCATCATTGGCTCAGGTATATTCTCTACTTCTTCAAGAAGAAAGCCAAAGAGATCTACAGAACCATTCATTTCCAGAATCAGCTGCAATGGCAGTAAAGCAATCTCACAAAATGTTCAAGCCTTCTCCTTGGAAGAAGAAGCCTAAATGCACTCATTGTGGCTACCTCAATCATACGACTGACAAATGTTATCAACTCGTAGGTTATCCTCCTGATTGGAAAGGGCCTAGAGGACCAAGAATGTCAACTAATAGCTCTACTGCTCATGCTGTGATTTTAGATCAACAGACAGATGATGAGAGGCCAGATATTTCCAACCAAGAGCTTTATCAACAGTTCTTGGCCTTTGTCAAAACACAACAAAAATTTCCTCATGAGCCATCTAATGCCACGTCCTCTACCGCAGCCGTCACCACCACAGGTATCTCATCTTGTAATTCAGCTTTTACAAAAACCAAACTCATTCCTTGGATAATTGACACAGGTGCAACAAATCACATGATCTGTTCACCAACCTTTTTCACAACCATTGATTCAACCATCACCACTAATGTTCATTTACCAAGACCTTTATTCCTGTCAGCCACATTGGCAAAGTCCAAATTTCTAGCAATTTAGTTTTTGAACATGTTCTGTGTGTACCCACTTTCTCATTCAATTTGATATCAATTTCAAAATTGACAAAATCTACTAATATCTGTGTATTGTTTACTGCTTCCAATTGCTATATACAGGATATGACCAGCAAGAAGATGACTAGTTTTGCTAAGGAAAGGGGAGGGCTATATTACCTCCTAGCCACTCATGATCAACCAACTCCCCAAAACGTCATCAATAGTCCAACAACGTTTTTTTCTCAACACTCCAAATACAATCTTTGGCATCGCAGAGTTAGACACATATCCCATATTCGAATGATCAACATTCCACATATCGCTTCTCAGATTCCTTGTAATAATCCACATATATGTGATATTTGTCCAATGGCTAAGCAAAAGAAGCTGCCATTTCCTATCAGTACTTCAATATCAAATAAAATTTTTGATATAGTTCATTGTGATATTTGGGGTCCATTTAGTGTATCTTCTTTTAATGGTTACCGATTTTTCCTTACTTTAGTTGATGATTATTCAAGGTACACTTGGGTGTTTATGATGCAATCAAAATTAGAAACTCGTGCACATATTAAACGATTCTACAAAATGGTCCTTAATCATTTTAATACCAAAATCAAATCTTTTAGATCTGATAATGGAGCTGAATTTCACATGTCAGAATTTTATAACAGCCATGGCATTTTACATCAAAAGAGCGGTGTTGAATCCTCGCAACAAAATGGGGTAGTAGAACGAAAACATCAGTACATATTACAAGTAGCTCGTTCACTTCTTTTCCAGTCCAATGTCCCTCTCACCTTTTGGAGTGACTGCATATTAACGGCTGTTCACTTAATAAACCGTATCCCTTCCCCAATTATTGGAAATAAAACTCCCTATGAATTGCTTTTCCAGAGGCCTCCTGATTATGATCACCTTAAAACATTTGGTTGTCTTTATTTTGCCTCTACCCTTAGCATCCACAGAACGAAATTTTCCCCACGAGCATCTAGGTGTGTTTTTCTTGGATATCCTCTTGGGTATAAAGGTTATAAAGTCTATGATCTACAAACACACCAAGTTTGCATCAGTAGGAATGTTGTTTTCCATGAAACCTCCTTTCCCTTCACACAAATGTCATCTCCTCATAGCAGTCCTCATATATTTCCTATACCAGAACCAATACTTGATTACACTCCTCCTGCAATACAGCTACCAAGTTCCAGCTCACCTCCCACTTTTCCTGATTCTGACACAGGAACTTTCAATGATGTCTCTGCTCCTTTACTCCATACCTCATCATCTAACAATGATCTCCCTAATTCCTCTACCCAGCATTCTACCAGAAAGTCCCTCAGATCAAAGCATTTACCCTCTCATTTAAAAGATTTCCAATGTGATTTACCTTCCTCTTTTACAGCAATCCAGTCATCCATGTTGGCCGGCACTTGTACATCAGGTAAACCTTATCCTTTATCTAGTTTCATTTCCAGTAATCGCCTTGCTCCCAAACACAGAGCGTTTACCACCTCTCTTTCAAATACCTTTGAGCCAAAATTTTATGGCCAAGCTATTAAGTATCCTCACTGGCAAGAAGCTATGAACTGTGAGATTAAGGCTCTTGAACAGAATAACACCTGGACTCTCATGCATCTGTCCCATAACAAACACACTATTGGTTGCAAATGGGTTTATAAAGTTAAGTTCAAGGCAGACGGCACTATGGAGAGATACAAAGCCCAACTGGTTGCTAAGGGCTATACTCAGCAAGAAGGGCTTGATTTCTTTGACACTTTTGCCCCCGTTGCAAAACTTACATCTGTTCGTGTTCTTTTGGCAGTTGCAGCTGCAAACAATTGGTTCCTCCACCAACTAGATGTAAATAATGCATTTTTGCACGGTGACTTACATGAGGAGGTGTACATGAAGCTACCACAGGGATATCCTACCACTGATCCCTCGTTGGTTTGCAAACTAAATAAAAGCTTGTATGGGTTGAAGCAGGCCTCTCGTCAATGGTTTGCAAAACTAACTACCTGCCTCACCTCTTATGATTTTCATTAGTCAAAAGCTGGTCCTTCCCTTTTCATTAAGTCCTCTAATGAATATTTCATTGTCCTACTAGTCTATGTTGATGATGTCTTGCTTGCCAGCAATAATCTCAAGGAAATTCAGGTTCTAAAGAAATACTTGGATGATCAGTTCACAATCAAGGATTTGGGGGAACTTAAATATATTCTTGGACTGGAAGTGGCTAGATCACACCTTGGGATCAGTCTATGCCAACGAAAATATGCTTTAGATATATTGACAGATTTTGGCTTTTCTGGGTGCAAGCCCATTGCTTTTCCAATGGAATCTAATCTCATTCTAAGGGCAGAAAACTCTTCTCTTCTAGAGGATCCTTCCATCTATAGAAGACTCATTGGTCGCCTGATTTACCTGACCATTACTAGACCTGACCTTGCTTATTCGGTCCAGGTCCTCAGTCAATTTATGGCAAAACCTGCTCAATCACATTTGAATGCTGCCTATCGTGTTCTAAGATACATTAAAGCTACCCCTGGTCAAGGCTTATTCTTTCCCTCCAAATCAGATTTGCACCTCAAAGCCTACAGTGACAGTGACTGGGCTGGTTGCATTGACACTAGGCGCAGTGTTACAGGATTTGCAATCTTTCTTGGTGACTCTCTAGTTTCCTGGAAATCCAAGAAGCAAACCACTGTTAGCCGATCTTTTGCTGAGTATAGAGCACTAGCTTCTACAACATGTGAAATTCAATGGTTGATCTATCTCTTACAGGATCTGGCCATTAAGCATCCTCAACCTGCTCTCCTATACACTGACAGCAAATCAGCCCTCTGCATTGCTACTAATCCTGTCCAGCACGAGAGGACTAAACACATTCAGATAGACTGCCACTTGGTTCGTGAAAAACTTCACTCTGGTTTGATTAAAATCCTCCATGTCCCTTCTCAACATCAACTTGCAGATGTCTTAACAAAGCCACTTGGTTCTATCATGTTCCATCGTAACATCTCCAAGATGGGCATTCTAAACATCCATGCCCCTCTTGAGGGGGGGGTCTCACGATACAGAAACTCTTCCAGCTGCCAAGAAATCTGCTACCAAGGAATCTGATCTGTTGCAACCACCAAATGTCAGTTAATACCGTTAAGATGAATTAGTTAGAAGTTGTTATGTGATTAGTTGTAGTTAGGCAAGTCAGCTTGTATATATATACTTGTGTCTGTAATATGAAAATCAATTTTTTCCGGAATGAGAAAATCAGTTTTATCATTCTTCTCTCTCCTTCTAGCTAATTCAAGCTAGAATTAATTTTCATTTGATCTTGCTCAAGGATTTCACAAAGAAGCCGCTTGTTTCCATCTACACGCCTGAAGTAAGTGTTTATCAATTTCAAGAGGAAAATACAATTTTAGTACCAGTTTTTTGACCCATGTTGAATTAATTTTGTTGAAACAACGAATGAAAGAAACAATTCAGCTGGCTGTACCTGAGGACTTTCACTGATAAAATGAAGAGGATTTGGCATTTGTCGCAACACTGTTACGCATAGGGAAAAGTTGCACATTTTGCTGAAATTTTAAGCCAAACCGTTTAAATCCAATCCTTCAATTTTAGCATGCTAGCCAGTTCAAATATTGAGAATTTGGTAAAACATAGGGCTAGATTTTCCTTCAGAAATCGTTATTTTCCTTGAATTCGATATCACATATTTTTGGGCTTAAACAATGTGTAAACGGCATTAACTTTCTTTCATGTGGCATACCAGAACTTGATTCTCTTATTTTCTCTGTTAGTTTAGTATCATTTTCATTTTTAGAATGATATTTTTTATATGTTACAGAAGCATTTCTACCAACTAATCCCACTATGTAGGTGGACACACATCTTTCGAAGTAAGGTATAGAGACCCATTTAAAGACTAGTAACTCGTGTAGTGAAATTAATAGTCAATGTTGATCTATTGTTCGCATGTTGTATTTCAGGAAGTTGGATTGTAGTATTGATATGCTTGGAAAACTAGTCTTGACATGTTGTAATTCAGATTGTAGTATTGGTTGTCCTGGTGTTTCTTCTGCCACAATAGTCAATGTTGATCTATTGTTGACATGTATTTGAGGAAGTTGGATCCCTTCATCTGCTTTGATCTTCTTCCTTGTGTCTTTGGTTTTGTAGTATTGATTTGCTTGGAAAACTAACTTGAGTGTGATAATGGCATTTTCCTCTACAAATGTGATAATTTTACGTGAAGAAATTTTTTTACTTGAATTGATGATTTCCCATTTGTCGTTGTTTACCATCGCAATATGAAAGGGAATAATGTTGGAATATTTCATAGTTGTCGAAGCAAGTGGCACTCATTCGGAGAATGCACGAGAAAACGTCGTTGCCCATGGTGTCCACATGGATTTCAGAAATGTTTCGAGGTTGAGAAGCAAACAAGTAACAAAGGGTGATTATTCAACACTTGTAGTAATAACTGTGGGTTTTTCGACTGGGTAGATGAAGGACAAACAAGTGAAGAAGTTAGTACAGATAATGAAGTGATAAACGTTGCGGGAAATGAGGAAGTTGAAGATTTGTCAATCATGCTTGATACTCTAGCCCGAAGAACCGAGAAACGAGACGTCGAGGTGTCATTGCAAGTGACATTCCGCAAAGGAAAAGGATGTTTGGACTGGAATGGGAAACAGGACGGACCGGCTTGATTATTAGTTTTCATCATTACAAAATTCGCATAATATTTGTAATTTAAAGACTTGTGCGGCGTCACTATGTGTTTTGTATAAAACCTTCCAACAATTTTTGTCAAATGCATCTTAAGTTTCGTTGTTAGGTTCTGGATTACTTCTATACATTTTGCCTCCATCATACTGCTAACTGCCTTGTACTCTTTGATGGTGAATTTTTTTTTTCTAAAGATTGTAGTTCTGGTGCTTGACTCCTAGTAGTTGAATTAGAATCTAACAGCAAGACTCATTCTTCAGTTGTTTTCTGCTAGTCCTAGGAGATATAGGACGGATGCTAAGGCAGTGAACTGGTTTTGTCATGCGTTATTTCATTTTTTGTTTATATTTTATACAGTTAATTAGGTATTTTAATGTACTAATTTTAGGAGATTACTTGTGGGATTCTTCTGATTATCATGGCTGTTGGAAATTTTGCCAACAAGGTACAGACACAAATGGGAAAGTCTAGTGATAAAGTGAAAATTAAGAGGGGTGGAAGCAGGCAAGGACTAAACCAAGGATCTTAATAGTAAGAGTTCGCGACGTGGTACAAGCTATTATTTATTGAGGATGTGATAACGTAAGGATATAACATCATAAGCATAATTTATTAAATTGGCATTTTAACCTTTTATGCATAGTGAATTGTATAGTGGACATGGTGCTATTCTTTGATGCTTTCAGGATGATTTATTTTCAACACAAAATAAAATGGGTTTAGATACTATTATGGATGCAACAAAATGCTTGCACTATATGAAGACAAATATAGCCAATTTATAAGTGCTCCAAAAGTGTAAAACCTGTCACAAAACTGCTTAACCAAGACATGCCATAAAATCCACCAGGTACTACCCTAAGCCCTAAAACATGTCACGATATAATAACAAATACATACAAGACTTATGTTTTTTCATGAGTTGGAGTTGGCTAGCAAAACCACTTGTACATACATTTAATGTTCTTCATTTTGGCCATCAAAACCACTTGTACGGCCCACTAAACCTTGAACATCCGTTAACCCATTTGTCGCAGTTGAAGCCTTCCACACATTCATGAGGTCGGACCATCTTGTGGTGGAATGTGTGCATAGTAGTACGGAAACGGATGACCTGTCAAACAATACAAAAATTAGTATATGTAGTTGAAGAGTACGGAAATGTAATGAATTATCCTCATCGTCACCTTGCGGATTGAATGTGACACTTGTTGACAGCGGTGGGGTTATAGTAGACGTTGGCAAGTGTGGCGTGAATGCATTACTTTCGGTATTGCCCCGCATAAAAAAGAACTTCAGTAACACAGAGCACAATAAATGTTAATTTAATGAAGGCACTCACCAACAACGGCTGTGGATAAGAGAAGTGAATGTGCGGGGAATTATGTTCCTGTGAAGCCACAAAGGTAGGTCCAGCCATGTCACTATTTCCGTGCCTCGCTCGCGGTCTCTTTCCTTTGTGTGATGTCGAACTTGCCTACATGTACAACGAAATTACATTAGAATACAAATTTAGGATTACCGAATCATAGAGACACGAATACAAGAACAAACCCCCGATTTCTTTGACGTTAACTCCAATGGACTTTTCCGCCGAAGCCTTCGGGGTGCACCCTTTTTCTTTACCACATTCGGATCTCGTATGATCTCGTCCGCAGAAGTCTACGAAGGAGGACACTGAGCGGATAAATGCGCTGTTTGCAATGAAACGATATTCCTTCCAGAATAAGATTTTGTTGACTTCATCTCTTTCGCTTGCAATTTTATCAAGTCCAATATCGCACGTGTCCGATTCGTCATCTACAGCAAGGTCAGCCACTCTGCAAAAGCATGGACCATACTGTCGTACCTTAACTGTCCAGGAACATTGACAAGACCAGCATAATTCACCACAACCCTCATGTAAGCTGTACTGACATCTCTTCTCCATCTTCGCAGGGTATAATGTTTAGGCAACTGTGCGACAGCGTTACGAATTAATACTGCAATCGTATGTCTGCAAATAATACCACAAAACTCGAACAAGTGGCAGCTACATATAAACTCGGACGTCTGTCTCTGAAACGAGACAAAAAAGATTTCTTCTTCCGCTGCTCTTGATAAAGGACATCCTCATGTACTTCATATGTGGTTCCAGAAGATCCCTCTGACACAGGTATGAGGTCACAATAGACCTTCCCCTTGAACTTTTCTTGAATCTTCCTGAATTTCAATATGCTATAGATTAACTGAAAATGCTTTTCAATGTCATAATTCGTAGCACATGGTACAATCTGCGAATACGACCTGAAATCCTAGAACTCCTTTTCAACCTTACTTCTTAGTGCTCTTTCATATTGCTCCACAAACTGCTTCAGTAATGTCTTTGAATGGACATAACCATCGAAGAACGCATTCATACTCTCACTACGTTGCATTGTGGACATCCCTGTCCAGAAAGTCGTTTTCAAAAAGGAAGGAACCCATCGACTTCTATTAACATACAACCCCGACAACCATTCATTATCTGTCAACTCATACGTCTGTATCATCTCTTTCCAACATGCCTCAAATTCTTCGATATTTTGTGAATTACACACCAGGTGATGTATAGCTGAAAATATGGAAGCTTTATCAACATGGTAGCCAAACTTCTCCGACAACTTCTTCAAAATGTGCCACAAACACCACCTGTGTTTTGTATCTGGGAAAACGATCTCAATAGCATTCTGCATGGCTCTATCCTAATCGGTAATTATTCCATGCGGAGCTTTACCGCGCATGCACTCGAGCCACGTCCTAAACAGCCATACAAAGGTATTTGTATTCTCGTTCGATAACAACCCACAACCAAATAATGTTGATTGACTGTGATGATTCACACCAACAAAAGGTGCGAATGGCATGCCATATTTGTTAATGAGATAAGTTGTGTCGAATGTGAAGACGTCGCCAAACTCCATGTATGCCTGCCTATACCTACTATCAGACCAGGAGACATTTTTCAGGCGAGACTCATCGCCTATATCCATACTGAAGTAAAAACCATTGTATTGTACCTGAATTTTTGAAAAATAACATGTATTGCTGCCACATCTCCTTCTCCCAGTCGCAATCGCCTCACTTGTTCAATATAATTTCTACAGTCTTTTTCCAGATACCTCATATTCTCATATCCCCCAGCTTCAAAAACTGCAGAGTTAAAACTTTTGTGTAACGGAATTCCTGCCAAGTCATTCGCTTCAAGTCTTCGTTTCACATTTACATTCAACTCTCTGTTGCATCGATATAACCTTGACTTGGAAGGGCTGGTTCTATGATTATGGTCAAGGTGGATTGTGTTAATTTTTCACATACCGTGACTATCTGAAGAAGCAGATATCCGTGCTTTACAATCTGTCCGACTGAGTGGTTGTGGATTTAAAGAACCTCTTGCATTGCTCGTTCTTCAGCCCTCACAACTACATGTCAAGGTCAAATATTTCAATTGTCCATTGTCTCCCTTTTTTGAGTTTCTTTTCCGAATTGGAAAACTAACATCATAGGCATATCTCTTGTAGAAGTCAAGCAATTCATCCTCACCATTGAAAATCATACCCACCTCAGGCACAATTAGCCCATTGTGTCCTAATGTTTCTTCTTCCACCCGGTTGGTATTCTCTGCCACATTATCATTATCGAACTCCGAAAAAGTTTCATCATTCACATGTTCCATAATTTCCCACACTGCAAGCAAATAAGCAATAATGTATGTCAACACATATACCAATTACCTGATCAAATAAGCAATAATGTATGTCAACACATATACATTGTATTATCATTTCTTGGAATAATCCTGCACGCAATTTGGTTGTAAAATAACTGGAATACCATTTTCCCATAATTTAATACTAAAAATTAGACTTGATTTTGAGACAATATATAAAGCATTGGTCCCATATTATCAATCAAATTAAGACTGCCCCATACCAGAAGGCTCAGAATGATGTTTAATTTACATATTATATTATTCTAGTACAAAATGTAATACTGTCCGACATTTGCATTTTTTAAAATTGATCTGTTTGGCAAGATGAGTTACGATATTACAGAAAAAGGGAAGTTAAAATCTCATAGGTTAATATAACAAAAGTTTTTTTATTTACTACATTACAAAACTCTACAGCATCAGTGTGTCATGATGGTGAACTGATAATTCTTTGTTTTTAATGGCATCCTCATTACATGAAAACAGAGAACATAAATTGCTTCCTGACGGTTTTCTGCAATATCATTTTCACACGGTATTCTGCTATGTTAGTTTATATATTTAATGGATTAATTATGATTAAGATTGTGTACATCAAAAATATTCCGCCATTCCTTGGCAATTTTTCAGTTATTTCCCAATCTGGGTAGCTTTAATCTTCTTATTGTGTTGTCTTCACTTCGGTTTAGGAACTGATGCATCATATAGGACTTTATCTGGCAAAAGGTAGAGGAGCCAAGGTGGTTTTTGAAGTCTCCTTCAAACAACAAATTTTTACGACCTCATTGCACTTCCCCAAAAAATGAGAGTTTAACTCACCTCTCCGGAAGATTGAAGACGTCGTCGAAAGTTGTGTTCTGCAACTGGACAGTGATAGAAAAATTGCCCGTTCCACTTGCGGAGCCTCAAAATCCCAACTCCTACTCTTTACATCATCCTCCTTAACAGAGCGCCATTGGATTATGTTTGTAGTTCGATTGGAGGTGCACCATGAGCATTCAAGGAACAGAGCTCACGTGGGGACCGACTGACGGAGGGGGGGAAAAATTGGGGTCAGACCTCTTTATTCAGCTTCACGTGGCTTTGTTTTTGTTTCACGTGGTTTTGCAAACTTTTTAATACACGTCAGCGTTTTCAAAATCTTTTGTAAAGGATCTGTGAAACTCCATCGGTACAGCCAACTTAATTGAAAAAAAATGGAGCCATATGTGACTTTTGTTCTCCCAAAAGTACACATCAAATATGTGTCATATTTCCGTGAAATACGACCCTTTTTTACTCGTAGCTCATGTCCATAGTACTCTATGAGTTGTAACACCTCGTCGATTTGTATAAGAAATCTATGATTTGTTTTCTCACGGCTGCTAGGATAATTTTGCACCTTCAGTCGGGTAAACCTTATCTTCGTCACGCATATGTGGAAATTGGGGAAGAATGTGACCACATGATGTGGCATGTATTAGTAGTTACTATAGATATGATTCTTAGATGATTAAAATGTAACATGTGAAATGTGTTTATATTTGTGATTGTATTTGTGTCCGTATTTATACGAATTGCGAAAATTATATTGCTTGACAAATTTTTCTATTATGTTTCCTTTTGATCTTCATATTATTCATTTTTTTTTTTTTTATATCAATGGGTTTTTTTCCTTAAATTTTTTTTCTATTGTATGGATGCAACATAGTAGTAATATTGTTCCACGATAATGGCATATTCAACGAATTCATTGACAATATAATTGCCTTTGTCGGGTAAGGATTAAAATTCAAACTTTAATACAAATCAAAATTAATAATTAATTTTGATTTGTTATTTCATGATAATCACAACTTTTCAACCATCAATTTCATCAATTTTCATCAAAATCAACTAAAATTCTAATTTTAATCCCCACCCATCAGAGACAATATCAGAATTAGGTTGGGTTCTACATAAGTAACAGTAACATTGAAGTGAGACCCTGCCTCCAGTTTGAATATTGAGTAACAATAATGACCTTTCAAGATACCCTTTATACATCGATATTGTGCCCGTAGAAAATGGAAATTCTCGTACAAGGTTTTTATTTTATTATTATTATTATTTTTATTATTATTTTTTTTTTTTTTTTTTTTGTATTTTTTGTTTTTGTTTTGTAGAGTCGACGAGCAATAATTAGATAAAAGAATCAACTGGAGAAATATATTCATTGCAAGATATAGCTGCTGACATATGTCGTGCCATGAAAATTGTAGAATAACACATTTATGATCCAACGGTCACCGTGATATCACATGATGGTACAAAAGAAGTATTAGACATGAAGGTCTTTTCCAACGAAAATGTTCTAAAAACAAATGTGGCATTTTATGCCATACAAAACTAATTCGAGTTTAGGAGTTGTGTAAGTATGAATATATATTTCCATGTTCAGAAAATGAATGCAAATAGTCATTTAGGGCTTCAAGATTGGGCAAAACAAACATGTTCAAAATTAGGGAGATGGGCTCGCTCACATGTGTATGAAGTTTCATCGTGTCTCGTTTCATAAGATATAAGTATATATTATTGCAAATCATATATTCTCTAAATGACCTAATATGGAGTGACTATTAATTACTATAAACCTTGGAGATCTTGTAAGCATACTTTGTAGACAGTTTCCGGTGATCCAACCAAGTCTTTTAAGAGACTACAAACATACTTAAATATACTACAAGAGACAAACCCTAGGATAGTGACGAGAATTGAGACAAATGGTCACAACATAGTCAAGTATTGCTTCATGATTTTAGGAACATCGATTCATGGTTGGAGACATTGTAGGCCTGTTATTGTGATCGACGATGTGTAACTCAATGGACATTATGGAGGTACATTATTCACAATATGTAGACGGGACGTAAACAACAATATATTGGTACTAGCTTTTGGGATTATTAATAGCTGGACGTCATCAATGATGATATCAAGAAATTTTGCTTTTGAATGCATTGAACAAGGTGCATATCATTGCATCGTTGGTGCAAATCAATTTTGCCATTAATTTTTGATAGACTAAATTGATTATAGTGACTCATAGAGTAACTATTTATAAAGTTTAAAGAAGATAAAAAAAATATATATATTAACATTTTAAATTCTAATAATTATTTTACGACCATACATATAAGTTTACAAATCAAGCTTTTAACTTGAGACACTATAGATGCACCATATGTGCACTAAAGTTATGTACAAGTTTGAAAGGAACTTTCAACTTTGAAAGTGAAGCACAAATTTTGCACTTTCTCAACTTGCATCGTTATCCACAAATACGAACACCAAACAAGGAAACAGAATTAAAGCATTGAATTGGACCCCACTGAAATGTTTGGTGACTTTTAGAAAAAGTGAGGATAAGATGTAGCCGATTTTAAAGAATAGGAAAAATATAGATCCTCGACCTATTGGAAGTGTAGAAAATAGGTCCCAACTATTATTTAGGAAAAATCAGACCTCGAACATTCATTTTTGTAAAGATGGGTTATATTACCACCATAATAAGTGTTTGATAAACCTCAATTTTCATTTTTCTTAAATAATCATGAGTAAAATGACATAAATAGCCTATATATTATTGGCTCATTTATTTATTCATTTCATCACCATCATTTATACATTACTGAAAAAATATAGCTCATAAATTTTATTCTATGTTAATAAAATATTAGACAAGTTGTTGGAAGAATATGTAATTGGAAATAAGTTGAAGGAATTACTCTAGTTTGTACTGCTCAAATGAGATATGTTCTCTTTTGAAAAAAAATATTACCATCTCTATCTCAAACAACATTTTAAAATTATTCTCCCTATTTCCGTGTAGTTTTGGACACTTGGACTTTTAAGTAGTCATGGTGTACATCTAAAGCCATATTGTGATTGAAACATCTAGTGCCTGTTTGGAACCGATTAAACTAGAATTAAAAGGAAAAATATGACTGTGAGTTACAATAAAATATCACTTGTTTATTCATGGAATCTTACTCCTTTCAGAAAAATACTATACCCACTAGTCATTGTCTAGAACAATTGTCGACAATGCCATGAATTCATTTCTTATTTTTAGGATTTTGCTTAGTGCGCAGGAGGGGTTTTACAAAACCCCTCGAGAGAACACACACAATAGGTGGGGCCCCACATGTGGGACGCACCTCATAAAAATTCAAAAAAAATAAATAAATAAAAAAACAAAAAATCTCTCCTCCCCTCATTGTGTGTGTTCTAGAAGCAAAATCTTATTTGAAAGTCATGTACTGTAAAATAGAAAGATGGCACATTAGCTTTATCTTTTACATGTGTGGGGCTCATGAGTTGACACAAAATTTCTTCCAAAAATTGCTTCCACACAAGGACCTAATATGTAGAGATCAAGTTATCTTAGAGTATCGAGTTTTTTTTTTTTTTTAGATACTTATTTTCACTACTGCCTCAATATATTAATTAAATAAGATTGATCAAGTAGTTTCTCCTAATCAGTTGAGGTGATTTAAAGCCCAGATGGTTTGGCCATATGGTAATTGATTTCTTAAGATTTTATGTTCGCGGAAACTGTATTTTATTAAAGGGGAATTTACAAAAATGTCACAAAAAATGAAAGTTCCAAAAATTTTGTCATTTTCACTTTTTGTAAGCAAAAATGTCACATTTTTTGGGTGCAAAGTCCAAATTACCCTTAATGACACATTTCTAGTAGCATTAAATGCTTGATTTGAAGGAAAAGCATTGACTTGATGTGATCATTTAATTTCTATATAGAAAACATGGAGAAATGTATTTTTATTGATTAATATGAATTTTTGTTAATAAAAAATCACCAAAAAATTTTGAAAACATAACATAAACAAGAAACCTTACCTTTTCTCCATCTTTTTCATTTTCATTGATCAAGAAGACATTTGTGTTACATTTTTCATCCATTTTGAGAGGTTAACAATTACAAATTATTTATATTTTACTTTTATAATTTTTTATTTGTACATGTTAAATACAACATGGGCATATTTTTTTGAAATTTTTGAAAGCATTATACATTCATTTGTTTGGTTTTGGAATTCCTCACAAAATGTCATTATCACCATTAAAGTTTTAAGTAATTTCTTCCATTACCACCATTAAGGTCTCTTTAATGACAAGGCCCAAATTGCATTTACATTTTATCATTTTGTAGTTGAATAATAATGACCACACTTAATGCGATGTGTTGAAGAAGCCTGAGAAACCCACTGCCGTCTGCTTTCCGACATTCTCGACAGTTTAACTGTCGAGTTCGACATTTACAAACCGTCGGGTTAGACGTTTGAGATGTCGAACCCCACATTTACAAACTGTCGGGTTATACAATTTTACTTTCAATTCGGACACTTCAAAACTATGGAAACTGGATTTACGTATTATGCAGTGTCACTTTCATGCTATTAAATGCCAACATATTGATTCTGAATTCTTATCGTTGCAATCCCAACATTTCAGGTATGAGTAATCATTTGAAATTCATCGTGTTACATGGGGGGAAATTTGTTCATGCGGATGACGAATGGAAGTGGAGAGGGGACAAAACCACTTCCATTCTGGTGCCGACAAGTATTACCGTAGCCGAACTTTTGTTAAGGTTGAAGGACAAACTTGGTATTCTTGATCCCCACATTCAAATTGAATTGAAGTTCAAAGTCCCTAACTTGAATACATCTCTGGCCGAAATACCCGACGATGAAGACTTAAATTTGTGGTAAAAGTGATTGTCAAATGTAATCCCGAAAATGTTCCTACCTATGCAATGTACATTCTGAACTTATGTTATTAATTTGTTGTTATTATCATATGCCAATAAAAAATTGGTCGTTATGTTTTGCAAGCGAAGTACCGATCATTACGGTTCCATTAGCACAAACATGATGTATACGTTATTTTCATTATAAACTTAACTGATCATTATGATTCCATTAGTTTTGACTGACAGTTTGTCGAAATGAAAATTTGATTTTCATGAAACGACAATTCACAAGCGAAACACCAACATTACATCCCGACAGTTCATATG